TATATATATATATATATATATATATATATATATATATATATATATATATATATATATATATTTAATTTTTCCATTTGTATAATCTATTTCTTTTCTCCAAGTATATCATCGATTTTAGAAATAATTTATAGAAAAAATTCATTTATCCAGACAACACATAACCTAAACAGTACCTTGAGATTGGTGCTTGATCTCTTTCCAAGATCAAGCTCTACAGAGATGTTGGCCTTTGACAAATCCACTCCCGAACTCTTTAACGCTTGTGTTAGAGCACTAGATATTCTGTTTTTTTTTTTAATTAAATTCAAAACTTATTTTCACTCCATAAAAAATATCATAATAGATGAGAAAAAATGGTAAAGATTCTCACCCTTGAGAGTACATGGTTGAGACGCTAATTATGCCGTTTGGAAGTTGTGGTTCATCAGTTGGTATGTTGTTCTTTTAGAAAAAAAAAAAAAAACAAATAAAATGAAAAATATTAAATAAAAGAAATACCAATATACTTTTATTGATTTGTTTACTGTAACATCCTATTTTTATATCTTAGAAAATGTGGAAGTATGAATTTACCAATGGAATCATTTTTAGAGGTTTGTCGTTCCTTCCTTGGTATGAATCCTCATACTTGTTCACCTTCTCTTGTAGAAACTGAATGTATTCAATAACCTACAAATATATCATGTATTCAATAAATTTGACCATTTTACCCTTACATTTCAAAAATCCCCTGCCTTTAGTATACCTCTAACAAAAATGACGCCTTATCTCTCTTTTGATCAGCATGAGGGATGATTCCTCTCAACATCGAAAATCTGCACAAGTTTTACAAAACTCTATAAATCGATCTCACCAATAATTTTATCCTAAAAAAAAAAAAAAGAAATCCTGAAAATGGAAGTGAGAATTAGGGTTAGAGAAACATGCCTGTCATTGATTTTACTCCTTCTACGCTGTTCTGTAGCAGAGTGCTTTGAGCGTGGGCTGTTGGGCTTTTCACCATTTTTATCAGCTTTAACCGATGTAGAATGTGACGTCATCCAAGGCATTCCAATCTTTCCCGATTTACCCTTGTTTACATTAGATTCTCCCCAAAACGTGAAACCACTCCCTGTGTAAGAACTGCAGTTTGAGTTTTCATCATTGTTATTATTGATACTACTTGATTGACATTGTGCACCCGATATCTCAATCCCTTCAGCCTTTGGAACTACCTTTTGGCTTTGAATTTGATTCATATTCATATATGAATATGATGATGATGATATTTGACTAATGCTGTATGTCGCTATTCCCCCAGGAAGAATATGGTCAAACTTATTTCCTTCTTTCTCAACTTGTTGAAAGAAGTCGTGAGTCTTAAGGAAACCACCTGAATAAAAATTAAGATCAAATAATTTAATAGTTTTGACAAGAAATCCCAATCGATATCAGCGACATTATAAATTTGTGTCAGTGAGGCTAAAATCCAAATGATAAATGGCCTACCAGAACCTTGTGACTGTGTCTATGTCCCCGGACCCAGTATGGGGTTCACGGGTACCACCTAATTCGTGGGTTTGTTTGGATAATCAGATTTCATGTCATTCGATTAAATATTATCTTGATAATTGATGTCACCCGCAAATCAAAAAGTGTATGCACATCAATCAACTCACACAAGTATGAAAATTTGGTTGTCTGATCTTGTTGATGAGGTAAAACATATCTCAATCGCATTTCAATTGATATGATATTTCACTCGTATCCATATATAATTGACTCATCTTTATGATGATGATGATGATTGATTAAAGTAATTAGAATGGAAGAGGGTTCAAATATACCGGGAATGCTGGGAGTAGGATCTTGCTGGGGAGGTGAATAAAGTGAAAGAAAGTCATGCGTGGGCTTAGCACCTGCAAAATCAACGTCACACATGGACAGGCTGGTGTTAATTCTTCTCAATACAAACACACGCGCCGCTCCACGCGCAACCACAGAAAACCACTTAATCTGTACGTTTGTGTATGAGAGATGTTATATGATGGTACCTTGGGCTCCACAGGGTCGGGGTTGAGAAAACTCCATCTCCGCGCCTCAAGGAAGATTAATTTGGAGATTTTGCTTCTCAGATTCCGATCGACTTAGTCGTGGCAATTTTATATAACTGACATCCCGTTCTTCACTTAGATCGCGGGAAACCAGAGTGAGACTTTACGGATTCAAATTAGTTGGCCAGATCCAGCAGAAGCAGCGCAATTAGATGAAGCCACTGTGTTTGCGCCTTCTCCTCTTGAAACTCAGAAGTGTATTCACGCTATTGTGTACGCAATTCTGTTAGATGCAATGAATTCCACCACTTTCAGATCAAAACTCAACAAACGAAAAAGTAAAATCTCAGAGAAAGTCTCTTAGATTTCCCCTAGTACATTCAAATTCTTTCAGCTCTTTAGTCTAGCGAAATTCATAAACAACAGGATTGCTGGAATCAGTTGATGAATTAAGCTGACGTACTGTTAACACTAAACAATTCAAATGAAAGCAGAATACTAGACAACTAGTCTATAAAATAATCGAGTAACTAATCAAACCAGGATAGTGATGAAATAGCAAAACTTACCGTGAAAATGGACAAAACGAAGAATCAAATACAGAAGTACAGATCGAAATAGATGAAAACTACCGAAAGGATCAACAGATGCATACCTTTGATCTGAATGTCAAATATTTCCGCGGAATTCAGCTTCTACAAGAAATTTCCAACAATAGGACTTCAATTCTCAGGTGAAGTAACTCCAACCATGGATTGTAATATTTGAATCTGTTGGTGTTTTGAGTTGTCTTCGTGTTGATATAGTTGAGAATTGTGACGAAGATCAAGCAAAGAACCTGTGATGAAAGATAGGACCCTCCCTCCCTCCCTCCCTCTCTCTCTCTCTCTCTCTCTCTCTCTCTCTCTCTCTCTCTATTTATCTCTCTCTGCGGTTTTGATGAAGAGAATAAGGAGATGTTCTCATACGGTCTCCGTTTCGTCTTTTATAACAAGAGACGGAGTCATAACCCCGTTTTCTCTACCTACGTCAACTCGTTCTTTTATATGTCAACTGGGTATTGGCAATGACAATTTATTCATACTGTGAAATTTGCTACTTTTAAATATAATTATTGACGGCTTAGAGGTGTATGATTTTAATTATGAATGTTGGGCAACATGAAAGCAAGGAAGATGAGTTATAATTTTCATTATAGCTAAGAAAATAAAAGTATGTTGCCTAAACCGGAATATGGCCAAGTAAATGATTTATACAAGGATTCCATATTAGCTATGTATTCCATGATAGTATAGTTCATACAAGCATGGACATATGTATCGGAAATGTTAAAAGTTTACCCGAGAGGACAAGTGAGGAAAGTTTGCCCACTTAAATATAACATAATACAAATGAGAAATGGATTAAAGATGAGATGTAGACAAGTATCTTTTGTATTAGTAATGTAATCTATGACATAATATAATATAAATGTTCCGAAGAAAATCTTATAAAGTTTTGCGGTTGAAATATAATCAAGGTACAAATGACACATGAACATATAAGCCAGTAGGGTTGTTGGACGACTTCGATATATTTTGGTTACTTGAAGTAGCAAATTGGCTTATCAGGGCAACTTGGTTTGGCTAGTTGATACGGAAAAATTATGGCAAACCGCTAGCAGATGCTTATAATAATTTATTTCAAGGTTTTTATTGTTTTGTGAAAACATATACATAAAGTGATAAACTTAGGAGAAACTCATATGCATTTTGAAGGAGATAAAAGGGTGGTAGAGTATGGCTAGGACAGCTTGGGCGATGGCCCTAGGCCTCCAAATTTCTAAGGGCCCATTTTTATACTGTAACACTTGAAATTGGTATGTTTCATATTTAACCCTTTTTATTTAAAAGCCTTGCATTTTGATCCTTAAGCTAGTACACGGGCGTACTAGGTGGTACACTTAGCGTACTAGCTTGATGTTGGTCGCGGAGCTCATCCACGTACGCTAGGCGTACGTGGAGTACGCATGGCGTACGTGAGCATTTGTGAAACCCTAATTTTAGGGCTTGTACCATATATAAACCATATGATAACCTAATTTGGCCTTGTTTAACCAATCTCCATATCTTTGAAAACCTTAATTCGTCCCTTTGCCTTTGTGTGGTGCTTATGAGCTTTTGTTTTGAACTTTGGTGGGTTTTGTGCATCTTGAAGTGGTAGAAGAAGAAGTTGAAGACTCATTCCTTGGAGGAGAGCTTAAAGATCCATATTTAGCTCCATCTTTTGGTGACTTTTGAGGTATAAAGTCCATACATTGTCTACTTTTTGCATTGATCTACTCTTTAGCTTGTTTATGGTCAATTTTGGTCCCTTTTGGTTGGTCTTGATGAGCTAAGGCCGTTTTGGAAGCTAAACCTTGTAGATCTGGACGTTTTAAGGGTCCCTTAAGCATAAAAATGCAAACTTTATGGTATTTATGGACTCATGCATGTGTTAAGTCATTTGTTAAGCTCTTTTGAGCTCTAAGAGTGTCATTAAGCCATGCATGCACATAAAGTTGCCAACTTTATGTGATGAATCATCATTTGGGACTAGATCTGAGAGTTTGGAGTAGTGGCTGAATGGGTTAAGTGCTTATTTGTTGAGATTGGCCAACTGGTGAGTATGTTGGGCGTACCAAGCTGGTACGTTGCGTGTACTTGCCCTTGGACATGTACGCTGAGCGTACGAGCTGAGTACACCCTGCGTACTCAGCAGATGGGCTTTTAACTTTTGGGCTCTCGGTTTTGGGCCATGATTGGACTTCGGTGATTAGGGCCTTGTTGGGCCATCATATTTTATTTTGGGTTCACTTGGATGAAGGCCCACAAAGGGACTTGGGCCCAACTTGAAAATTTGGGCCACAATTAGGGTTTGGGGTGACCATTTTAGAATTGGGCCTTCTAGTGTAGTTGGTTTGGGCCTTGGTCCACAATTGGGGTTTGGGGTGACCATTTTGGAATTGGGCCTTCTAGTGTAGTTGGTTTGGGCCTTGGTCTTGGACCAAGCTAGGTAAAGGGTAAAATGATCTTTTTACCCTAATTTAGACTGATGGTTATGGATTGGAATCAAATTATTATTTTGATGTTATTGGTATTGATAGCTCGTGGATTTGTCGGACCAGCAGCCAAAGATTTATCAGTGTGATTCAACAGTTCAAGGTGAGTATCCTCACTGTGTTTAGCGGGTCGAAGGTACCAACGTCGGCCCACGATTATTATGATAGGATGCTAGATGTTTGTGTGACTATTGCATGTGTTATGTGATGGTTTGTATACCGAGCGAGACTCGATGTCGGGCGAGGCCCGATGACTGTATTATATGCTATTGTTTTGTGATTATCGCATGTGTTAGCATGATTATATGTTATATGTTTATTATGTGTATCGAGCGGGGCCTGATGTCAGGCGGAGCCTAATGAATGATAGATCTATAATCCGAGCGGGGCCCGAGGCCGAGTGGACTCGATGTGGGGCGAGGCCCGATGTGGGGCGTGGGCCTAGTATGTGTTTATTATGTATGGTATGTGGTAATTTGGGGAACTCACTAAGCTTTGGGCTTATGATTTTTAGTTTATGTTTCAGGTACTTCGGGATCGAAAGGGAAGAGCCCTAGATGATTGCAGCAGAGCACACACCACCTTTTTCCGCATATTGAGATTTACTCTAATATGATATGATGTAGTGCATACTTTGGTCTTTTTGGTTGTACGATAATGTTTGGATTACTGTTTTTATAAAAATCAAAATGAAATTTTTGGGTCTTTTTTTGGGACGTTACATTCACAACTAGGTGTTTTTGTTTCTTTTACTTGCTTTTTTCTTATTCTTTTACAAGTTTAAAATAATAACATGTTGCCTAGAAAACATTTAGCTGGTAGTACACATAAGGATTATTTTGATGTTTTCTAATGTTACATGTTTAAAATAATAGCTATATATATTTGTGTTTTCTAATGTTACATGTTAAAAAACTAATTATTGGACAAATATAGAAAACACATATTTTGATGTATTTTTTGGTTTATAATTCATATTTACAAGATCACTTTATTAAGGTTTATATTTTAGACAACAGTCATTAAGTTTCGGGTTGAAAGAGAAAAGTAAATTCTTTGGCACATTTATAAGTTAAAATATTTCATTATTTAAAAGCAACCATTAATTCTTCAAAGCTACCATATTTACTAATTACATGTAATTTCAACCAACAAATTAAAAGTCCAAAATTTAGGATTGAATTAGTATAGGCGACATCTCAAATGTACTTTTATATTTGTAGATCTTTTACCAAATGAGGCGTAATTAATGTTAGCTACATCATTTATAATACCGGCTATAGACATTTTTTGGGGTTGAATTCCAAAATATAGACACAAAAATTTGGATTTCTGCGTAATCCACTGTAGCTCCGCGGAATGACAAAATCGTAAGTAAATCAGGGTATTAAAAAAAATAAATAATAAAATAATAATAATAATAATAATAATAATAATAATAATAATAAAACTCAAGATCCATTCCGCGGAGCTATCTCCGCGGAATGAGTTCATTCCACGGAGGTAGCTCCGAGGAATGGATTTTCAGAAAAAAAAAATCACCTCCAATGGTTCTTTTATGTAAAGATCTCCGATTAAAAGACCATTTTTTTCCACCTCACATTCATTCCAAACATTGTCAAGAAAAATTCATACTATCATAATCTTTTCTTAAAAATAATTAGTTGGTGAATGAGTATAAACCTCGAAGAATCGATGTGAAAAAAAATTGAAGATCCATTCCTCGGAGCTACCTCCGCGGAATGAGTTCATTCCTCGGAGGTAGCTCCGCGGAATGGATATTGAGGTTTTTTTTAATACCCTGAATTATTTACGATTTTGTCATTCCGCGGAGCTACAATGGATTCCGCGGAGCCCTCATAGCTTACCTCCACGGAATCCATGTCTATACCCAGAAATCCAATTTTTTGTGTCTATATTTTAAAATTCAACCCCAAAAAATGTCTATAACCGGTATTTTCCCTATTAATTTTGCAGCCAAAAAATGAATTTTTGGGCATTTTGACGGTTTATACAAGTTTGTGGATCTCTTTAATCTCAACATGTTTCCTCACTTCTTAATGATTGTGTAATGGTTCCAAACATCCCAAGATATTATAATTTGGTCCATAATAACCAATAAGGATCATTTAATTTTAATTTTTACAATTAGTGTCAATTTCATTTATAAGGTAAAAATGTTAAATATTTATGTGAATTTGATAATGCAAATAAAGCATTTCATAGTTGATGTAAATACGTAAGCATAGTTTTCACCATATGAAGATGATATGAGAAGTGAAATGACCACTTTTAATTTCATGATTAATAAAGTGATTTAATTTAAGTTATAACAAACTATGTTTGATGTTTCAACGATTTATTTTTATTAAAAGTACTTACTAATTCCTCATTCCATGATTACTCGAGTGATTTAGTTGCCAATGTGGGACTAACCCAGTTAGTAGAGGCTTTGCATGTTAGATTGGAGGTCCCGGATTTTACTTCGGGCATTGAAGAATTCTACTAACTTGGTGATACTATCTTCTAACCACTAACAAACTGTTCAAAAAATAGAGTGATTTGGTTGAAGTTATTGCAAACTATGGTTAACACTTCAACAATTTTTTTAAATGACTAATAATTCTTTATTTCCTACTGAAATATATCATTTTAAAATTTGTTGATGTTTAATCCTTAGCTTTAATATTTATTTTTTAAATCAATCTGTGTAATACACGAGTTTTTAACGGAAGTAGACAAGACATTGTGAATGCTCATTAAGATATTCCTACATCT